ATTTCCTGTTCTTATTCCTTCTACGAAAACAAGGAAGTTGTTATACGAAATCAAGGAATAGTTCTTGAACAATGATTTGTTCATTGGATTTAATTCCTTAAAAACCAACATGTTGAATCTTTAACTGTCTACCTGCATCAATCTCCTTGTATGTATACAAAGCTGCATTTTGGCTTTTCACCAATCAATAACCCTCTGGGAGGAAGTCTCGGTTATAGGAGGTGTAAGTCTTCTTCTGTAGGATGCACAAACCATTCGTGTATCGAAGGGGAGGCATCGACCGTGATATTTAAAATTGGAGTCCCACCTGGCCTTGGAGCTGCCTTGAAAGCCTTCTAAAATCAGTTTCTTCTGTTAATTTCATCAGGTTATGCACCTAGATAAGGGCTAGCGTTAGCAATGTTGCCTTTCATGATCTATGCATATTTTTCTCCACAACTTTGTTTCTACGTCAACTGCAATATAAAATGTTATTATTGTGGAGCAATTGTTGGTCTCACTTTGATACGAATTGGGATTGAATCTTTCAGGGGCTTCAATGCAGAGGCAGGGAAAGTACCGAGAAGCAATCAAATACCATTCATTAGTGTTGGCAATCTCTGAACGAGAAGGAGAACAATCAGGAAACACTGAAGCTTTTGGAGCAATTGCTGATTGCTACACTGAACTTGGGGATCTTGAGAAAGCTGCCTACTATTATGATAAGTACATAGCGAGGCTGGAAACAGACTGATATATTTGCAATCACCGGTGGTTTTTGTTCCTTCATAATCTAGCCAAATACTTAGTTTTCGTCAATGGTTGGTAGATGTTGAGTTGAGAATAATTGCAGAATCGCATCATTCTCTGTGTTTATTCTATCTGAATTCCGAAATATTACTTTCGAGCCTCCTTTTTTTTTCTTTTTCTTTTTTGAATATTGATCAAATGCTTCGTATATAAAGTACTTATAGTATTTTCAATACTTCGACCAATTGGGCTATGTTCCTTCCAATTTCAAGCCATTAGGCTATGTTTAGTTTTAAGTCAAAAGTGTTATTATACTTGAGACTATCACTGATTTTTCTATGGATTGTTTTCCTTACATTTTGCTCAAGATTAAGTATTATGTTTTATCAAGTTTGAAGTGTGTCGAGTTCTTGGAGAGGCACTGTATACGAACTTGACATTCAGCAACTCAACGAACTTGAAGGGGAGTCTGCATTAAGTTCCCTTTTCACCTTTTTCTAGTACGGCATCATGTCAATCATGGGCGGAGCTAAGAATCTTCATCGAAGGGGGCAAAATTTTACTTTCGAACTCTTTACATATAATCTTTCAGAAACATTTTAAGGGTTGTTTCCGTTTTGTTCCCCTGAAAATTTGGCGAATAATTCATTTCTCGCCGATATCTGGATGATGTTCTTATGAAGGGTGCAAGCTTGCGAGGAAGAAGAGGATTGGTCTTGTGCAGTGCATATGATCCTTCTTCAAACTCTCGAGTATTGGACCAGTCGTTCATTTGTCAGTTTTAATTGCCTGATTTATCTGCGTTGCCTCTGCCTTTTATAGTCATCTTATGGATTTGTCCACTATTTTGATTGCAGATCAACCCCTGGTAATGTGCACTGCTTCATATGTGGGCATAAAAATGTCTATTTAGCGGGCGGAATCGGGACTCCATAAGGACTCGCCCAGAATGGGGTGGGAGGTTCTCGTTTAAACGGGGGAGTGGGAAGTTTTCCCCATTCCCGCTCTGTGGACAATCTCGTTTAAGAGGTAATAAACTCCCTTCGTTAATGCATGATCTAAGTATTTACCTCTATAACATACAGATAGAATCTGCGCAACTACCTTCATTAATGTATAATCTAAGCATTTACCTCTATAACATACCCATAGAATGTGCACGCAGGGAGGGCTCTTTATGGGACTCCATGTATAGGGTGAAGTATAAGATTTCAATCATTATCTTGATCTGTGACATGGTATTGAAATAGTAATAATAAATCAAATCTTACCATCTAGATAAATACTATACTCATTCATGGCACAATTATTAGGTCCAGTTATCTTATGTCAAACGAGATAATAAATTAGCCTTTGATTGGAGAAAAGTTGTCTTCAAATATTTCATTCTATCCCGTTTAATTTTCATGTTCAAGCACTTCCCTTTGAATCAAATTAAGATTAAGTTTCAGGTTAAACCAAATTGCAGCATAAATTATCCAGATCAGCCATAATACTTCCATAGTCCCCGGAAATAAAACATAGATCTAAAAATTTCATGAAGTCAACAAATCAGCATCTTTAGTCTGAAAAATAGTTACAGAGCTCTGTTCTTGTTCATATTCATTCTGATGGCAGGAGAAGGGTTATGACAACAGGTATAATGTCCGAATTTGAAGGTAAGATTAGGCAGAAGCTTAACGGAGTAACAACTATGGTGATTTTATACAATTTTGCCTATATGTTTAGATCAAAGTGGTTTGAAGATAGCTGGTTTCCCTTCTCGCTGGTGTTGACTCTGTAGCCTTCGCCGGCTGGTTTAGAAGAAGCAGAATATTGCTGTGAATCCAGTTGGTATGGGGCTCTTGCTGAAACTCTGAATAGAAGCAAATAAAAATGAAGTAATCTTCCATTGATATATATATATGAAGTTCAAGCAGAAGCGTATTCAAGAAATTCGAATGGATTTTCAATTCTTTTGTCTGAATCTTACCTGTCCTTTCTCTTCTCGAAGAATCGATGGAGAGAAGCTCTTCTTGCAATGGGCAAATCGCAGGAAACTTTGGTCTGAGGTTGTTCTTTGGCGGCGGCTGGCTCCGTTACCTTGTTGGACACAGCGGCAGCGGCTGGCTCCGTTACCTTGTTAGACACAGCGGCAGCGGCAGAGGCAGATCTGGAAGAGGACACGATTCCCTTGCCGGCCATGGCCATAATCTCTTCCGCCCTCTCCGATGGAAGATCATTGAACACCAGCACTTTTCCTTCGTAAAAAATGGTCATTTGCATCGCAGACGGCGGCTCCGCCGATGGTAGAAAAAGCCCCACCGCCTTCTCTTCTGGGTTTACCATGTTCGTCAGCAAGTTCATTATTGCCGGCGGCCGAGGCGTCGGAAACTCATCTGAAACACAGCCATTAAAGGAACAATAAAGTTAGCGAGGATCCACTGGGAAATGGTTTGAATTAGTTAAAAGTTTTCAGAACCCAGAAATGGAAGTACCTTTCGGTTCAATCCTGGGGGAAATTCCAAGGCCTCTCTTCTCCTTTAAGTACTGGCTCAGCAGATTACAAGTCTGCGCAAAACTGGACTTCTCCGGCGCCCGGCCCAGCCTTCGGGCGGCGGCGTTGTCGGAGGGAGTGGACATGGTGGAATTGAAAACAAAGAGTTTAGAGGATTTGAAGCAGATCTGAAAGACGTGTGTTCAAATTTGTTGCAAGCTTTGAATATGAGAGGAAGAATATAAAGTAGAGCTACCTTCCTCGCATCTTCTTTCGAAGCTGATTGGTCTTCTTTTTGTTTCTTTTTTGTTGTCTTTTGAAAATTATTCATTTGATTAATTTATTTGAGTTGAAGCACGTGGTTTATAAAACATTTAAAAAAGGAGACCGTGGGAAGGAAAAGCAATTCTTTATTTACTCAATACCTTAATTCAAGGGGCCAAGAGTTGTGGCGGTTTCTCATTAATACCTCTTTTTTTATCCTTAGATATTTTATGAAGTTGTGTGGAGTTTCAGGTTACCGAAGGATGACCGCTCTTAATGTACACTAAAAGCCCAATAAGAGAGAGTGAGGCCCAAGCCCCAATAAGAGAGAGTGAGGCCCAAGACCCAATAAGAGAGATTGAGGCCCAAGCCCCAATAAGACTCGGGTTAGCCATAACCATCCAATCATATAATATTATCAAATTTTCTTCTTTCGAATTTATTTGTTTGATTAACTGTAATTTTACATGTACGTGCGAGCATGCATGCACGTGGATGTCAGGCTAATCTGTCAGATCATTAATTAAAATCATTAAATTCGGATAATAATAATATAATAGTAATCAGACAAATCGGTTTTTGTTTTCTTCTGTGGCAAACCAGGGAATCATGATCTAAGTATTAGCATGGCACCGGAACGTTCTAGGCCATTCTTTTATTTACTTTTAATTACCCAATATTAATTTCCAAATCAATAATTTATTATTATTATTATTATTAAAGAATTTAACACGTGGCAACCGGATGGAAATAGATGACTTCCTCGTACAAGAATCATATGGGCTTTTATGGGACAGCCCATTATCAAACAATGGGCCACAACAGCGAGCCCAATGATTGAACGGTATGAAATGGCTACAAATCATGATAATGAAAATAATATTACATATTACGATTCTAGTCGGTGTTTTAGTTATGTTAAAAGTGGAAAGTCCGTAATATTTTCAAAGATTTTATTTTAAATAAAAGAAAATATAATTTGTTTAGTTCAAACATTTATGGGAGTGGGAGTGGGAGTGAGTTTCCATCTAAGAGTTACGTGGGCCCACACAAGTACTCAAAAAAGCCCAAGCAACCATCCTTTTCTTTGCAAAATCGAAGTGATTGATTGGCTATTTTTTCTGACCATGATTCAATTGTTCTCTCTGCAAAACAATTTCCTTTTATTTGTTTCTAAAAATTATATTTAAAATTGTATTATATGTAGTACGTGACATTGTAAAATAAGAGAAAAATAGGTCGGTTTGCTCCAATCTATTTGTCATAATCTATAGTTTATAAATGTTGTCATTATTGGTCTCCAAAATAACAATAATTGAAAAAAGAAGTTAGAATTATAGCTAATTATACAAACCCAAATGTTATCAGTATTCAATAACAATATTTCTTTTATCCTTTATTTGCATAAATAATAATTAAAAATATAAATAAAACCGAAGATGTTAGAAAATTAATAATTCTTCGTAATTAAAGTAGACAAATTTAAAATAGAAAAAAAAAAAAAAAAAAGGGTAATTTCGGGAGGGGAAGTCGAAAAGTGATAAATAAAGTCCACATACTCTGCACTTGGTGTCCATCTGTATTGTCAGCAGAAATACAGACAGAGCGGTACCTCCGCCTCTTCTTCCCCGGTCATCACTCACTTCCCACACAACACCAAGATCTCTCAGATTTTGGTTTCTGTTTGTTGATGGAGCCCTACCATGAAGTTTCAGAAATGCCAGAGCAGATTATACTACGCTGGGACACTGCCGCGCCGGATGAAGTGAAGGATAACATGATTTTTGACTCCGACAGGGAAGAGATCGATCGATACTTGCGGGCCGTCGATGAAATCCAGAGGTCGATGTCGTCGGCTTCGATATTGGACGATCAGAACAAAGTCGATTCCACTATGCAGATTGCCATGGCCAGGCTTGAGGATGAGTTCCGTCACATTCTGTCCACTCATACCATTCCGATCGAGGTCGAGTCGCTTACTGATCCGTCTCCATCTGCTTGCTCCATGTCCAGTTGTACGAGTGGTGTCTTCGAGGACGTGAACGACGACGAAGCGGATTCGCAGGAAGTTCACCTCGATTTAAGTGGTAGTCCAAGTTTTGGGTCAAGTGGACGATCGAGCTATCGGAGGACGAGCAGTATTCGTGAAATTGATCTGATACCTTCGGAGGCGATTATCGATCTACGGAGTATTGCTGAGAGGATGATAGCGGCAGGGTACCTGCGCGAGTGCATCCAAGTCTATGGCAGTGTGCGAAAGTCCACATTCGACTCCAGCTTCAAACGCCTCGGAATTGAGAAACTGAGCATTGGAGATATCCAGAGGTTGGATTGGAACGAGCTGGTGACGAAGATCAGAAGGTGGATCAGAGCGGCAAAGATTTCCGTTAGGAATCTGTTTTCCAGCGAGAAGAGGCTCTGCCAGCAAATCTTCTATGGCATAGGGACCGCCATAGAGGATGCTTGTTTCATGGAGACTGTTAAAGGTCCTGTGACTCAATTGTTCAATTTCGCCGAAGCGATCAGTATTAGCCGCAGATCGCCGGAGAAGCTGTTCAAGATTCTAGACCTCCATGATGCCTTAACAGATTTGATACCTGACATTGATGTTATATTCGAATCAAAATCGGCGGAATATATTCGGATTCAGGCGGCGGAGATATTGTCGCGGCTGGGGGAGGCCGTCAGAGGAACTTTATCGGAGTTTGAAAACGCGGTGCTGCGAGAGCCGTCGCTGCATCCGGTGCTGGGCGGGACGGTTCATCCGTTGACAAGGTATGTAATGAACTATGTGAGTCTGATTTCCGAATACCAAGTGGCCTTAGAGGAGCTCATCGTGTCCAAACCGTCGACGGGCTCGAGGAACTCGGCAGATATGGATGAGTTTTCGGAGGTAGAGGGGAAAACCCCGCTAGCGCTCCATCTGATATGGAGCATCGTGATTCTGCAGTTGAATTTGGAGGGAAAATCCAGGCAGTACAAAGACCCTTGTCTAGCTCATTTCTTTATCATGAACAACGTTCATTACATTGTTGAGAAGATAAGAGGATCCCCGAAATTGCGAGACATGATTGGAGAGGTTTATCTGAAAAGGATGACCGGGAAGTATCGACAGGCGGCGACAAACTACGAGCGAACAACGTGGGTGAATGTGGTGTACTGCCTGCGGAACGAAGGGTTGAATGCGGGGGGAAGCTTGTCTTCAGCCCCCTCAAAGAGCGCTATTAGAGAGAGAATGAAGAGTTTCAACGCCATGTTTGAGGAGGTTCACAGGACGCAGTCGGCATGGTTGATCCCAGATCCTCTGCTGAAGGAGGAGCTTCGCATATCCATAACCGAGAAGTTGATCCCGGCTTACAGGTCGTTTCTTGGCCTCCATGGTCACCACATAGAGAGTGGAAGGCACCCAGAAAATTACATCAAGTACTCGGTTGAGGAACTGGAAAATGGCATCCTGGATTTCTTTGAGGGTTGCTCGGTACCCCATAACTTGAGAAGGAGATCTCACTGAAAAACATGAAACTAAAATTCTTTCAATTTTTGGGGGAGTTTTTGAGGTCATATGGTGGTTGCCTCCTTTATCATGCTTCTAATATTGGGCAACTGATCTGCTCTGCTTTAGCTTTCCAACTGACCCTGAATTCCCCTTCCTTGTAAGCATTTTTTCTAAATTATTTTGTTCATTTCTTATTATTTATTTTGCTGGCTGCCTCCTCCTAAGCATCTAAGTCTTTTCCAGTTCAGCATTTTTCCTCTTTTCCAAACAATTTTAGATGTCTATCTCATATGCGTTTGTATTTAATTGACGAAGAAGCTTTGAAAGCCTTCAGAAATAGCAAATAAAGAGAATTTAGTTCTCATTTTCACTTCTAAGTATATTACTTAGAGCCCAATGTGGCCCAGAGAGCCCAATGTGGAACACGTACTCATACTACACTGTGGAGTTGCCTAGTTTAGATTGTGAACCTGCAGAAGCCCAATATGATATGAATATTGAATACCTTTTCTTCCAAAGAAGAACAAAACCGAGTGTTGTTTTCTTGGCGACAAAGCTTCGGCTTTCTTTACATCGCTCCTCCTGTTTACACACATTTCACTCGAGCAAGAAGAATCGGAAGAGGTGAAGCGGAGGTGGATACGATCGTCACATCACAATTTTCTCACCCGAAGCTCGTCTTTTTCAAGTTGGTATGTATCTTAGTTCTTGCAGTCCACTTTCTTTCTGGTTGTTTTGGGGGAATAAGTATGTGGAATCCCCAGAGTGTATGAGCTCCACCATAGTGTGTTCGTATAATTCCAGGTGATTTATTGGTTTTCTTAAATCGAAAACAGAATATGCATTTAAGGCTGTCAAGGCTGCTGGAATTACTTCTATTGGCGTTCGCGGTAAAGATTCAGTTTGTGTTGTGACCAAAACAAGGTTCCGGTGAGTACAATTGGTTTGATTCTTAGAGGACTTTTCATCTTTATTAAGAATATAATGTATGGACGATGCTGAATGTGTTACTTTGGAAATTCAATGCAGGACAAGCTTCTGGATCAATCAAGTGTCTCACATCTTTTCCCTATCACAAAGTACCTAGGGTTGTTAGCAACAGGCGTGACAGGTATTTCTCGTGCGCTTTTCAGATTTACCTATAGATATATCATGAAAGGAGCCTTATTTGTTCATGCTACCTACTACGCTACTGAAATTAGTTTTGGCATGAATCATATGCTGTATAGGATTGCATCTAGCTAATGATGAATCATAACGTGGCATTGCATTGTGATGTATTGATGTGATCTCTATATATGATGTTGCAGCACATAGTATGATATTGTCCACTTTGAGCATAAGCTCTCGTGGCTTTGCTTTAGACTTCTCTACTACTCATGATCATTTTCTAAATAAGCTAAGGTGGGACTTCCTCCCAACAATCCTCTAACACTGGGTTATTAACTTATTAGTTGAGAAATGTCATGGAACCAGTTGTACCCAAAGAGAGAGAAAAAACAAAAAAAACATAATAATAGGACTATTTATCTAATTTTCCGTGAATTTATTAATTGAGCATATTACTCTATTGGCTGGTGGAGGCTAATATGAATGAAAGAAAGAAAATTGTATTCATTTTCGATATGATTTTTCGAGGAAAGGTTTCAGTTAGTTAGCTCATCTACTTAGATTAATCGATGAGTAATCTAGACAGAAAACGAAAGGAATGAGGACATAGCAAATAAGATTCTAGCTCACTTCTTTCCCTTTTTTCAAAGATCACCGATCTACCATATCGCATGAACTTTCCTAGGATGCGACTCAATATCTCTAAAACCAGCAAGTTGTTGGGTAGTTTGTATTTTTACTAACATGTCATTCACATACACTTTCATGTTTTTATGAATCTGCAGCTTGTTCAACTAGTCTCTTATAAGTGTCTCCAGCATTTTTGAGGAATAAGGGTAGGGTGGTATAACAGAAAGTTCCTACTTTGATAATGAAAGAACCGTCTTCTTCCATTGCTATTTGATTAGAAGCTTTATATAGAAGATTGAATATATGACCGTGAAAGCAGCCTTTCCAACAGTTGTTTGGGATGAGTGGTCACTAATATGATTTTTGTACGGTTTTCAGCTGATGCCAGAACATTGGTTCAGCAAGCAAGGAATGAAGCAGCCGAGATTCGTTTTAGATATGGATATGAGATGCCGGTGGATGTATTAGCTAAATGGTACCATATTTATTTCATACAATACTATGCAATTATGATTTTAATTATATACCGCACAAGTAAAAAATCTGTTTTATCATATGAACTCTGGATTGTAGAGCAAAGAATAGCTCCACATGTTGCTTATTGACCTTACTTTATCGTTGTATATTCCATAACTTTGTTCTGGATATTGTTCAAATCAATTTGATTTATAACTTTATATTTCAAATCATTTTGAGATTAAGTTTCTTCTACTCCAACTACCTCCAGTTGTGTGTGAGCTTGAACACATATTTTAAGCATCAAACTAATGTTGATATGTTGTTGCACTCTCTTACTTCATTTCAAGTGCAATGGGTGCTGAAGCTTGTTATTCCTGTGGATTGCTGTGTGCATTACACATTAGTTGCCATTGGACATCATGAGCTTACCTTCGCTGGTCTCTCAAAGATGTACATATAGAGTGCATTTTTTTCATCACAATGTCAGACGGTTTTTTCCCCAATGTGTTTAGGCTTGGAGTGGTGGATAAAAAGAGCTGGAATCAATCAATTTCTTGGAAAAGAAAATGAAGAACCATCCGGAGTTCACCTATGAAGAAACAGTACAGGAGGAGGATGTGCTTTCTTTGAAACTTCACATGATACTAATGCATAGAAAAGCCCAACACTAAATGAGATAGTATTGTTTCTTGCTGGGAAATGCAGCAATAAAGGGGTAGGATTGGGTGACAGCAAATTAGATGCATCAATCATTGACTTGTCTCTCTCTCTAGACTTTTCTCCTTCAAATTTCCCAACCACTTTCATCTGCAGACACAGAGGCATGGCTGTGGGTGTAGGAGAAATAAATCCCAAAACAGTGCTTTCCCCTTTTCAAATGGTTTTCACGTCAGACCAAGAATCTGGGGAAGAAGGAGAGTGGGAAAGGGAAAGATAAAACCCCTTTTCCTTTTCAAGGTACGCCATCAATCTTCTCTTCTTCTTCCCTTCATCATTGATCCCCTCCATTCCCAAATGGGTTTCTTTTATTTCTTCACACTTGTGATTCTGTTGTTTCATTTCCTTCTAAAGTTTTCTGAAATGTCATGGATCAACTTGGTATTGCTTTCTAAGTCCTCTTCTTCGTTTTTATTTTTTTCTTTCCTAAAGGTGTTCGGAAATCTCTGCGACCACTATCACAGAACCAATAGCGGCGATAGCAGCGCCAGTCCCGGAAAATCCTACGGCGGCAATGCTTATTGGGCAAATGGAAGTTGAATTTTTTGCCAACTGTGAGTGTTGTGGGCTGTCGGAGGAGTGTACAGAGGCTTACATCGAGGGAGTCCGCCGCCGATTCGACGGAAAATGGATTTGCGGCCTGTGTTCGGAGGCAGTTCAAGACGAGATTCTCAAGTCCGACGTCGTACTAATCACCACCGAGGAAGCCATGGCCAAGCACATGAGCTTCTGCAAGAAATTCGCCGCCACCGCAGGGCCACCTCCGGACCCGACGCCCCATCTCATAACGGCAATGAGACAGATCCTCCGCCGCAGTTTACTCCCCAAGAGCCTTGAGGTCCAAGCGGACCAGTCGAACCTCCGGCGCAGACAAAATACGCGGCCGGGTTCTTGGTTGACATGAGCAATGAATTGACAGATAATTGGGAATAGAATCGATCTTTGATTCTCAATGTGAAATGGTAAGGCGTTAAGTTAGATCTCTGAATCTGTAATTTTGCAGAAATATAGTTTCTTTTGCTATTGCTTTCGTTTTATTTTCCGAGAGAAAATTGACTCTGAAATAGGAATAATATTGAATAACAAAAAGACAAATTAAAGGGAAATTTGTGGAAATGGGTGACCTAAGAGAATCAATAATTGAGTTTGAAAAATAGGTTAAAGGAAATTAATAAAATAAAAGGTGTGCAGAATTCTTGGTTGTACTTGTTCTGCTACAGCTGGTGAGTGTTTGTTTAATGGACCCGACGGCCGATGCAACTCCAACTTTCAATATATTTAATTAGAAAAGAAAAAAGTATAATTACAGTATGTCATAAATAAATAAAAATAAATAAATATTTACGGATAAGGTCAACATGCATAGAACCATGATAGATACATATAAACCGAGACGCAAACACATAGAGAGGCACATTGTGGGTTGGGTTTTAGTGAGTGCAAGCAAGAGGAATACGCCTATTGGCCCAAAGTGTCGGCCATTTTTATTCTAAAAATCCACCTTCATTTACATGGAATTATGTGTTTGGATTTTAATATATACTTTTTTTCTTAATAAGCAAGTGGCCTCATTAATCAGATTAGATTCAACCGGTATCATAAATTATATATATAGACGATTATTAAATATTACAAATAAATAAATTTAAATTTAAATTTGAAGTTGTAAGTAAAATAGTATGACGAATCAACTATTGGCGGCCGCTACTGGAGTCACTAGGGTGGTTGTGGTAGTCGCCGGAAGTAGATAGTAGCTGGTAGCTGACGGAGGTGGGCGGTGGTGGCAGCGGCTACTAGAATGGTCACCAGAGATGGGAGTGATGGTTATTAGAGGTGGTTGGTGGCAATTGTTGGCGAAGGCGGATGGTTGGGGTGGTTGCGGCGAGGTGGATGTGGCAGTGGAGTGGCGACTGTCGCTGAAGTGGTGGTCGGTGATGGGAGGCGATCGTAGTAGGGTGAAAGTGAAGTGTGAGGGTAATTTGTACATTTATTTCTTAAATTCATTTTTGAGAAAGTCATTTTAAGTGGTAATTAAATACGATAATTATCACAATAAAGAGTGTTAAATAAAATAAAATAATATGCGAAGAAAAGACAAAGTTTTGCAGATATTATCCCACAATTTTAGATTTTTTTTTTTTTTAAATGAATGAGAAATTTATACAAAAGGAAGAATATTATATTTGAAATAGTTTAGTTAGGAATAAGTTAAAATAGGGAATATAAAAATCAAAGCGACCTTTGAAGTGTATAGATGGAGTTACATTACATCAAATTAAGGCTGGCTCTTAATAATAACAAAATATATAATTAAATGTGAAAGGCCATATGAACATAAAATGATGTAATTAATAATGCATATTATCTTAATATTTAATTCAAAACAGCCACTGCAGTCCCCATGTTCTAAGCACAAGTTCTTACTTCATTACTCTCTCTATTTTATGCATTCCTCTTCTTAGCTCCTTGCCTCATACCTCTCTTTCTTTGATCTCCTCCATATCTCTCTTTCTCAAATGCCTCAAAGCTCTGAGCAGGAAGAAGGGCAGCAGGCTGGTGCCGGGTTGCGGTGGGCAACGCGTCAAGGGATCCAGTTTCGGAGGCGACGAATGGCAGTGGCACGGCTCGGGGGGAAGAGGTCGGGGCGGCTAGTGGCGTGGGGGAGGAGGCTGAGGAAGATAAGGCTGAGATGGGTGAAACTGAAATGCATAGCCATGGTGAAGAAGGTGAAGAAATACTGCGCAAGTTTGATGAAGGATATGATGGAAGCAGGGGCATATGGTGACTCCTACCAACATAGGCTTCTCTTGGAGACTTCTTTTGCCATTCCAATTTTGGGTGTCTCGTTTTCTACGCATTCAACTCATGCTGCAGCGTCCGCATAAATTTCTATCGACTATATGGTTTCACGATTCGTTTGGAATGATTTTTTAAGTAATTAAAAAAAGTACTTAAAAAATTATACCAAGCGAATTCTTATTTTAATTTTTTTGAATGATGGACGTAGGTTAAAGATAACATATAAAGTTTTTTTTTTCTTTCCTACTATAGTGTTTTTTGTTTTTATTGTTCTATTTCTATCAATCAAGCTTGTGTTGCAATCCAGTGTGTTATGTTCTTTTTTATGATATTTAAGTTTGGGTCGAGCAGATAAAAAAAAATTAAAAGTATCTCATAAAAAGTATCTAATGGATCCCATATGTTTTTTAATAATTTATTAGACACGAGATTATTCTTTTTAACTTCATAGAATCCTAAACTTTAAAACTTTTGTATCTAATGGATCCCATATGTTTTTTAAATTTATCTAATAGGTCAAATTAAATTATAATTTGGGTCTCTTTAGTTTCAACAAAATTAAAATTTTAGTTTGTATGATTTTATATTTAAGTCCAAAGAAAGATGGGAAATAGATGTTTGAATTTCTTATTGGGCCCAAATATTTTAACTTTGGGCCTTAATTTCCGAAAGTTTGATACCCGCAGCCCAATTGTTATATAGTCCTAATTTCTTCTCAACCCAGCAGGTGGAAACCCTAATCTCGCTTTGTTTGACACTGCACATAATTGGAGCCTTGAAGGCACCCACGAGGCCAGCTAGTGGCTCTCTCTACTTCCACGCTGTCCAATCTTTAATCGATACGTTTAGTGTAATATTTTCGTGGATTTTGAATTCTGAGGTATGGGTTTCTGATGATATTATTCTTTGCATTTGGAACTGAAGCTGTAATTTTGTATCATCCTCATAACGATTCTCGTTTTATTATTATTCTTTTGTTGTGTTTAGAAGGATTTTTCCAGTTCCTTTTTAATGTTGAACTTTTAGGAATCCTTTTTAAGGTTCAATTTTATATTAACCAATTATATGTATATCAATGCATACAATAGGTGTTGCAATTGTTCGTTTTTTATCCTTTTTCTTTTTCTTCAGATTGATTATTGGAAACCAGTTTATGCTACCAATCTAAAAATTCAGTGATTGGAAATATAATTTTTCATTGGAAGTTGATTACTTTGCTCAATATATATTTTCCTAGTTATGGGTGAAGAAGTCAAGGTAATGATTCCAGAGTCAGTTTTAAAGAAAACGAAGAGGAATGAAGAATGGGCAATGTCAAAGCAGCAAGAACTTGAAGTGGCCATAAAGAAGAATGCAGAGAATCGTAAGTTGATCTACAACAGAGCTAAGCTATATTCAAAGGAATACGAAGAGCAGGTAAACCTTCCTTTTTAAACCTATTTTATTATGTTGGAATCCCTTAAGTTGGGTGCTTTCTTCTTGGAGCATTTACATTTTGTTCATTTTGGGTTGTTATAGGATAAAGAGTTGATTAGACTGAAACGTGAGGCAAAATTAAAAGGAGGATTTTATGTTGACCCTGAGGCTAAATTATTGTTTATCACTCGCATTCGTGGGTATGTCTATATTTTGAGTGAACTGGTATACCATTCGCTATACATGATATTATGTTCTGATGTCACATGATATTATGTTCTGATGTCTCAAATTTTGATGAAATATCAGTATCAATGCCATGCACCCAAAGACTAGAAAGATATTGCAGCTGTTGCGTTTGAGGCAGGTACAATATCAAAGCTGTAGTTGTTAAGCCTGGTAAATAAAGCTGGTAGTTACCGATTAGTATGGGGGTGACATAGCTGGTAGATTTTGTTTGGACGATCGCTGCTTTTTTCTACTACAGATTTTCAACGGTGTTTTCCTCAAAGTAAATAAAGCAACATTGAATATGCTGCACAGAGCGTGACCTATGGGTACTTTTCTTCCTAAAGCTTTTGTTTCTTTAAAACAATTTACCTCCACAACAGACTGAACTATTATTAATTTGACTTTTTCAGGTACCCCAATTTGAAGAGCGTTAAAGAACTTATTTATAAGCGGGGTTATGGGAAGCTAAACAAGCGGAGAGTTGCATTGACAGACAACTCAATTGTGGAGCAGGTCTCTCTCTCTGTCTTCTCATTCTTAGCTAATGTGTTAATTAATTTTCTTACCTTCTCCTATTATTCAATGAAGGCACTGGGTAAATACGGCATTATCTGCATGGAAGATCTCGTCCATGAGATCTTGACCGTGGGTCCTCACTTTAAGGAGGCAAATAACTTCCTATGGCCGTTTAAGTTGGAAGGCACCTTTGGGCGGATTGAAAAAGAAGAGGAATCACTATGTTGAAGGAGGAGACGCAGGTAATCGTGAGAATTATATCAATGAGCTTATCAGGAGAATGAACTAGATGAGGACGAGGACCAGTTTTGTTGTTGTCACTCATTCTTGTGTTTCCCAATCAACTAGATGGATACTTTCTTTTATAACATTTCTTCAAAATTGTTCGCACATATACTACACGTAGTGGTAATGATCTAATCTAAAGTCACCTATTTGCTTTTGAATTCTATGTTCTATGTTTAGTTGCGGCAATAGAAATTCACACCAAAATATGAGTCAAATCCACAAATATATAATCATCTTTCCAAGCTATTATATCATCATCTTCCCATTCCAATTGGATGGATGCGGTGTTGTTATTGTACAGGCTCAATAAGAGACGACTATGAAAACTATATAAATAAAAGAACAAAGTTTTCCCCATCTAAATGATAGTTGTACAATATTTGTATTTCAGAATTGAGGGGAGCAACAAAATATTTAGTCAGAGAATGAATACATCTAAGGGTAGGAGGGATTTTTCTTTTCTTTTCTTTTTCTTTTGTTCTCAATCAACCTCTACGCTCTACAAGAAAGGCAAAGCACAGCCAAAACGAAGTTGCAGAAGAAATGGAAGGAAAAATTGTCATAAGATGAGTTTCAATTTCGTTCTCCACACTTCACCAATCACCTTCTTCGGCGAGGGATTATCGGGTCCTTTATCTCGTTGTCCAGACGTAAAGTACAACCATCCATCCCAATACCCAACCAGCGTAGTCTTCACACGGAATGGGAGCTTCCCTATCACTGACCATTGCTGCAACACAAATTTCAACAAAAACATGACTCAACTAAACCAACCTAACACCCCACCATAGTTCTAGTCCTTTCTCTGGATATTTGCAATCATACAACATAATAACACAAGGGCAGTGCAAACAAGGAAGGAGTTGTCTCCCTCTTTGAGATGAAAACGATAAAATTATATTAAAATTTTAAATTACGTAAGGAGTATATGAAATGATTGATACCTGCAAATCCAAGTTAAATTGGAATACTTCTCCATTGAGAACCATCTTCTTGGTTTGAGGATGCTTATCTGTCGTGCCCCCAACAATGACAACTGAATTGTTAACCACCACCCAAGCAAACTCAATATGGGAATCCGGTTTTGGCATTGATGGCAGCACTTTCCATTTCATATCATCATCCAGCATGTAAACATCACTGTAAACCACCTAACTCAACCCACAAGATTGAATATAAACTTCTTGCATTCTAGTTCAAGGCCTTTTTTTCAACCATAAAGAGTGTTAACGACATTAAGAAGTTTCAAAATCCTTAGCAGAGATCAAATACACGAGTAAAGATGTTGACGAAACTAAGGGATAAAGCTGTAGATATGAGCTTACCTCATTCCTGCGAGAGCATTTGAAAATAGGGGATCCTGGTTTTGCCATAAAATCACCTTCTTGTCCTCCGATAACATAAAGTCGGTCATCAACAACAATACATGCCCTGCAACAAACCAAATACACTTAATGAAATGCAAGAGAAATCCATGCAGCGACTGCAAGACAAAGTTAAGAATGTTTTGATCTTTTTGAGGTCTAATAGAAAGACTACGCTAAGCATGCATAAAAGAAATACCAAACTGGTCACTCAAGGGACAAGTCATCAAGGCTTATAATCAACAAACTGGAAATGCGTATCAAAATTGCATTTATAAGTCATCACAAAAGACAGCACAAAGACCTGTGAGGTCCTCCTCGAGGAATAGGTATCTCGCTCCTCCACTCCTTTTCTAAGGGTTTCCCATCCTTCACAGCAAGACTCCAATGCTCCAAACCAGGTGTGTACCGGTTTTCCTTGCTACCGCCCATCACATGGAGTCTACCTCTCCAAAGTTGAGTTGCCGGTGCATACCTGCAAATATCTCATCATGTTAAGACTATTTAATGGTATGACTTCTAATATAAAATCACAGTGCCCGCTTCTTAAAAAGGAAAAATACCTGGGGACTGGTAATGGGGGCATATCCTGCCATTGCTTTGTCTCTGTATCGAGCACAAATGTATGAGCAGTAGGGCCCCGGCACTGTGGACCGTATTGCCCTGTGACTACATAAATGTACCTTCCATCAGTTGCCATCCCTAAATGTGAATGTGCCATTTCCTTTGGCATATCAAATCTTCCTCCCCATGTGTTATCAGTAAAATTATAAACGTCAACATGTGAATGTACCTATAACCACCAACAGAAAGGAGATACAAAAATAAGAGCCCAATAACAGAGACTAACATGGCCAAATCTTCCTTTCTGACCAGTAATTGGTTACAATATCAATAAATAAGTGTACCTGTTAGTCATTATAAAAAATTAGGAATAAAAAGCAGAGAGCCTATTAAGTCTGATCAAGTATGCTGAATTTACAGGGCAATCTCCTATTCTGCCATCGGAAAAATATGCCTAAATTTTGCTAAAAACTGATATATTGGTTCTTTAGACAATAAGTATACAGCCTATACAAAAGTTCTTCAAGGAAAACAAAAAATTGCAGAAGGTTACAAGATATTTGGAGAAATCTGCATTATTTTAAAGCAATTTTGCAGGTTTTTTTTTTTTTTTTTAAACTAAGTCACAGTCACAGTTATCATAATGGCTAAAATAATATATGGAACTTAATGGGCAGATCATCCGCAAAGATGTTACTAGAATCTAGCTGCAAAACATTTCGTTCTCTCTGCATGAACCCACTAGAACTGCAAATGAGGCAAGATTCTCACAAGATCAATGGTGCCATATCCAGCAAATACATATAGAAGATTCTTGATCTGTATTGCAGCACCATCCAAGCGAGGCACAGGAGCAGTTGCCATCTTCTTCCACGTTAACTCTGGAGCTGGCAGATCAGCAAAGGTTGCTGACAGTGTTCTCCCAGGATTAGTGTCTTTACCACCTTTAGCAGCCTCTCCCTGCAATAACCATAGCATGTAGCCGTTAACTGCTTAAAAGGAGAACTCAGATTGTTCAAACTTTTGTATGGTTTGATATTCTCAAAATAGGAAAGTAAACTGAAAGAGTACCCAAAATATTGCAGACTTATTCCACCATCACGGCAGTAATACTTGCTCTCTCAAATTGTCGTATAATCCAAGAATAAGCATTCTAATTCTATTTCTTCCCAGATTTTTCACATTGAATAATGGAGACAGCCCAACTAAATTATGGGTATAAAATGGTCTACAATGAAAAGTGAACCCACCTGAGTGAATAGGAGTTCACCCAAATCCTAAAGAAACAAAAGAGCGTAGCATCAAATTGAAGCAGGGAAATGTTAAGATTGACGAAAGATAATAAAAATCGGGAAAGAAGAGGCAATGCCACGGCTAGTGCTAATCCTTCACATATGGTACGAAAGAGACAGCTTTTCAAGTTATACACAAATCTTGTCTCTTATAAAAAAAAAAAAAAAAAAAAAAAAAAAAAAAAAAAAA